CAATGAATTTTTTAAATTTCGAACACGAAGAATCTAGTTGCATCATATACAGTTTTGGCTCTTAATATTTCAGGCGGAAGCTATTTAAACATTAGCATAAACATTAGCTTTTCATTTCAGGTTGTTAAGAGTTAACGATGTTTAGTTTGGAACAGCAGTGTGCACTTATTGATTATATTTTATTTCTATTGGAGAAAAGTTTCTTAAATAATAATGAAAGATACATCATATTTAATTCTTTGTAAAGATGGCATTCTGAATAAAATAAAAACAATTTAATGCAATATACATAAAATGCCAGTATTTAGTTTCTCGAATTCTTTGTGGTAGAGGTATTATTTATTGTTTTTAACTTCAAGTTTCACCGAATACGTTTAGCTTATGTGAACAACTTGTATTTATTAAACTGAATTGTCCCTTATTTATTTAAAGCAAATAAATATTTTAGTTTGCAAAAATTAAGATTACTTAAAAAAACTTAAGGTATATTTCTACGAGCAACTGCTTGTAAACTTTATCTTATGCTATATAAAACTTAGCCATTATTATAAATTTGTATTTTCGTTTTTCACTTTCCTTATTCTTTATATCAAGGCAGTTTGTAAAGCATATTTTTGAATTAAGATGCAAATTTAATATGAATCAATATAATATTTTTGCTTGAATTCTCATTACTAATTGCTCTGCGAAGGATTACGGGGGAGTCATAAAGCTAATTAATTTCTCAACTGCTCAGTTTTTGCTATACCATTGCTACTGTTGAACTTTACCATCATAAGTTCCATTTCTCATTAATTGACGAAGAGTGTTGAAAAAGTTATCGATAAGAGAATTACAGGTGGTTCAATTCTTCTAGTTTGCTTTCACTTAAATTTCTGCATTTCTCGTTGATGTTTATTTAATAACATATTTAATAATATTTGCATCACTTAGCAAACTTTAAGCATAATGTATTTATAAGGGTCTTATTTTAAATAAAACATTCATTATGAATTGGATCTTTGTTTGAACTTCTTCTTTCCATATTGCTCACCATAATGCAAAATAGTTGGTTTTGTATTTAAACTTATGTTTGTGGATGAGAGTGTGTCTGGCATGCGTTTTGGCTGACTGATTCTAACTAGCTGTAACAAGCTCGGCTCTGCGTTCTTTCGCACGCCGAAAAAATTTTTTTCAAGATGGCAAATTATTGAACCAGCCTGTAGTTTAGTATTTAATTCTGTAGTCTGAGACTACTAATCACTACAGGCTGTTGTCATCTGTAGCAAGAGCCGTGCCCTGTTTTGTTAAAAGATTAGTTTAAATAAAAAGGATGTTTTAAAGCATTCATAAGCCTCTATCGTACTATCTCAGATATAGCGATAATTAGCTAGGTATATATCAGAGCTGTAAGGACTATGTTCTAATATTAGATCAAGTATAAGCTTATATAGCCCCCTTAGATCTCTTAGGAAGACTGAAGGAAAGCTTCGTGTTCAGCTTTGACATCATGCGATCATCCATGAAATCAGCCATAACTTTCGATAGTAGAAGTGTGGTAATAGCCCTAATTAAAATGTACTTTCCACTATAACCTGTTGCAGTATTACAGAAAGTCACCATAGCAACCGCTGCATTTCTAGCACAGATAAAAACTGGTTCAAAGGCACTGGTAAATTTTTATTGGATTAACCAGACAGTAAGAGGTTTACGTTCGAGGTGCTTAAAAGTGCCTTTGTGAAAGAATTCCCTTTGGTGAAAAAAGGGGGAAAACTACAAGCCGAACGTTTTGGTAAATATCAAACTAAGGTTGAAGAGATTATTTTGAGGGAAAATACAAGTCGTGAACGCATTGTATGGGAAGAAACTTGGTGCGGAAAATATTAAAATAATATTGCCTACATTGTTGACTCAAATTTAGGATTCTGATAACCTATGAAATCGGGGTACAACTATTTTAAATTCTGGAACAGCTATCTGAATTGGCGGTAGAATCTGACAGCAGGCAATAGTTAATAAATAATGCACAGCGGGAAAATAGCAGAGGTCAAGCGGACATTTTCTTAGATCTGTTAATTATATAACTCATACAAATTGCATAACTCATTATAGCATAAGCATTGAATATTTCTGAATTAAATTTTTAATCTGAAGATGTCTTTGAAAAGATCATTAAATATATCAATTTGTATATAATTAAAAATATAGCTGTCTAGTAAAATAATGCCTAAAATTACTTAAATCAATTTTAAATAGAAATATTCAGAGTTAGACTTCATTAAATGCCATTAAATACCAAATTTATATCGGTTGTATTTATATTTAAAAAAGTGTAATTTTGCATTTTTCAGCTACTTACCGAAGAATCGAGTGACGGTGTCCATACATTGAGGAAAAGACAATCTTCGTTGCCTTCGTAGTGCTTGCTGTAAGGATTGAGTTGGAAACACTTGGATCCGAAGTGGAAAGCTTCCTGAGTCTGGTGTTCATCGCACCACGTGTCCACCCACAAAGGCACGGGTTTTCTCCACCGTAAAGGACCCACTGGAGGTTTTGCATATGCAATGCCCTAAAATATTGGAAGAACAGAAAATCTAATAACTGCTTAGAAGTTTCATAAATAAAATTATTCTAGGAGCATATTATATACCACTGCAGATTGAATTTTAATTCATGAAATAAATAAAAGTATCCTAACTTTCATTTTTCTCATTCAATATAAATTTTAGTTAATGATTTGCATATGGAAACAGATGAAACAGAAAATATTAGTTTGTCTATTTGTCTTAATAGATAAAAATACTGCTCTAAATTTCTGTCAATAATAAAACTCTTTTGATTATATTGTGTTTTTTTGTGTCTTAGTTCATTTGCTCATTTGGTTAAATATTTGCGTTTGAAATAATATATTTAGGGTGTAATTTTGAGTAACTGAATTTATGATCACATATTTCTTTTGTAGAATTCTAGATTTTATGATTTAAAATCCAATAACGTTTCACTTGTGAAGCTAGCTCAGTGTATTCTATAACTTAAGAAACGCTTTTTTTAATACTGTAATATTTTTAATTGAACCTTTTAATGGTTATGTTCCAAATATGTAACTCAGTATTAGCACAAAAAGCATTGCAAATGCTTACCGGTTTGGAAAGCTATTCAAACTTATTCCAAACGTCTGTATCTTTGAATTTAAATATAGTATATTTGGACGATGAAATATGGAAATAAAAATCGAAACCTAAAAAAACAATTATTTTTTATTTCAAAATAATGCTTAAAAAATCTTAATTTCGAAAAAGGCGTTCCAAATTACACTTTAAAGAATATGTTCGTATCGATTTTACGGTCAAGGGAAAGGAAAAGGTTTCCATGTTACATAACGAAACAGAAATACTTACGATTTATTTCAAATCATTATGGATTAAGCATACGATACAGAATTATGAAATATATTAGATAATATTATTATGGTTTTGAAAAAATTATACAAACATGATTATGAAATATATGGCATATTATGGTTATACATGGTTTATTACGAAATACGAATACTTATGAAATACGATACTTACGGAAGATCATGTTCCTGATATATTTTACAAAGTGTTTTGCAAAAGAGAGTTAGATTTCATACAAATTAAAAAAAAATATGTATTCTTTTAGAATTTTAATAAAATTATTAAATTTTAATAAAAATTATTAAATTAAGTTGAGGGCAAATAGTTTTCGGCTGAAGTTTTATTATAAACATTACAATACGTTCGTTTTCTCATGTTGACCTTACCGCAGAACTTTCTAGAGAAAACCAGTGTGGCAGATCAACAATCCTAGATACACAGCGGCTTAATAAAACATGTTTTTCAGTTTTCTTTTCAAGATAAAAATCATCCAAAAGCTAATTTTTTTAGAATTCATATTCTTTTAGACCGCGATTTACAAAACATTACATCTTAGGATGAAAGTACCCCCATCATTTCTTATGAAACATAGAGGGGTAAAAGTTTTACTTGTGTTTCATCCATTAACGAAGGAAAACTGAATAATTTGTATTGGTTAATTATAATTTCATCAATGTCCACAGTATCTTCAGATGAAGGCTTTCCCATAATTTCCCACTGAATACATACCAAAAGAGACAAAGATTTTATCTATGTTTCAGCCTGCTATAAACATAAAACGGAATAGTTTATAACGATAAATATACCTTTCCTCAATAATGTTTGTAATATTTTCATCTGAATGGAAGGTTTTGTTATACTTGTAACCTACCTTGGCTTTGCTTTCTCTTCTACTTCATCAACTCTTACAAGAATGCAAATTAATTTAAGTATAATTAAACATTTTTGCAGAAAGCAACTATTTTGGCAGAATATAAAGTACATTTAAGTGTTTTTGGTTCACCATATATATAATTAAGGGATTCTGGCAGAGACTAACAAGTTTGGCAAAGTGTACTTAAACACACAGCTTTTGACCCAGAGTAATATAATAATTCTCTTTGGCCCTCTCTTTGGGTGAATTTTACTTATCAACTTAAAGTTCAGTTAGTCATTTCTACTTTTGGAATATATTGGATCGAGCCATGATTTAGTAAGGAGTGTTGATTTTTAGATTTCGGACTCAATTAGAATATGAGCATTTGCTCTGAATTACCCGTAAGTACCAGAGGGTAGCTTCAGTTAAACGTTTCACTTTGTGTAATCGAGGTTTTAGTAAACGGCTTTTGTTTTCAACCTTTACTTCGATTTGAGATATTTTTAGTTAAAAGATAATAAAGTCGTCAATGGTGAGTCGTGTAACAATCCCTAAGGTTATAGCAATGACCGGTAATTTATAGTATTCGAAGACCCATATATACCAATGGGTAACAGTACAAAGTTAAGCAATAAGCAATATATTGCCTTTACCTGCAAAGATAATATGTAATAATTTTCAATTCAAGAAGTATTGACTTTTAAACAGGATAAATACACAATCACTAAGTTATATATAATATAATATAATAGTTATATATAAATATTTCAATCTAAAAAAGATTTTTTACATATACGTAATGAAATCACTTTAGCACGTCCCGTAAACTGGTGTAGTTGTTATCCACGTCCCGTAAACTGGTGATTTCGAAAACACTGTTTAAGAAGATTTAAATTATATTTTTGGAGTTAAACTTCAGACAGATTGAATGTCATTTTACAGTATCAGTAGTGATTATATAGTATACAGTACGTTCATTTATCAATAGGTTAATTATATTCGTTATTCGGTTTCCGGAAATGGCGTAGTCAATGTTTCTGTCTCCATAAAAACTTAACACGCTCCGCAGTTCGTCTCTAGCAGAATTTGACAGACTGGATTTGGTGTTTTTCTTCTGTTATTTTTTATTTAACGGGAAAGTAAATATTCCTTCCATGCATACTCATGCTTTGTAACTCCTAGTACACCCGACTGAAAATTAGAAAAGCCGTGGTTCGATTACTGGCGGGAGTATATTTGGTTTTTAATGTTGCCCGCTCCAGAAAGCTCAATATTCTCTTCAGTAAAAATATCAGTGTGGCAGATGTATTACAATAAAGTATTTATAATACGAAATATCAACATTTGAATACCAATTTACTAGTCTCTCTAGCATTTTTCTTTCCATATAGAATACTGAAAGAATAGCAGACATTGAAAACTTTAATATCATATAATTATTTAGCCATTCAGCGTGATGGAGTAACTTAATGAACAGAAAAACCATTTGTGTTTCCTATATATATGAAAGAGACAGAATCACTTCAATGTGAATGGACCTATATAAATAAAGACTATATTATCTAGATTTATTTACTTCGAACAAATACTCAATTAGAGAAAATTAAGCGAAAAGGATAACATGAGACAGATGTTAGCCTTTTTCCAAAACAAAAGTTAGTAAAACCGTGAGATTCAATTCTCTGAACTCTTTGTGATTAAAACATTTGCTTGTTAGTACCTCAAAGAAGCTTAACGCTATTCATGCGAGGTAATTCACACGGAGGTTTTGGTTAATAAGTGACATGCTGAAAGTGAATAATCGTAAAAGAATTTCTATATTACATTAAATAATGATCTATTGAAGTAAAATGTTAAAATTTTTTTCAGAAAGCTTTAGTTTTAATACGTGTGACTGAGTCTTGTCTTAAAATAATTACATCTTATCTAATTATACTGAAATTTCTGTAATACAGTATAATTAATTGTATTCAATAGATTCTATAGAGACAAAGCATGGCCTAGCTTTCAATTAATACAGAAAGGACATTTCTACTAACCAGCAAAATTGCTGAGAAACACTGGAAGGAAACTCAAACTTTATATTGCTACATCAACATTCACAGCGGAATAATTTGGTTACTTTCATCAATCCATGTGGCATAATGATGAATTCAGTTAGAGCTACTATTGAGCAAAAATATAAAGTCCGTAACTTCCGGAAAAAGCTATTATTTCCTGATACACGCTTGGTTCAAAATTTTTTAACATTTAAAAAATAATATTATTTCATTATGCAAAAAAATTAATCGATTTTATTTATCAAATCAGTGAAAGATAAATCAAATTACCATTACTTAATCTCATTTAATTAAATTTCTCAAATTATAATTTTTCATTCAAAGCCGTGTCAAGTTCACGGCAAGAAATAGTTTTCTCTAAGAACATATTCAAGTCAGAGGTTTATTGACTCAAAGTTTAGGACAGCAAAGAAGGATTATTTAGAAAAAATTGTGGTAGAAAAGAAGCGGTCACCTAGAAGTATGGAGTATACTTACAGAAGTGTTTATGTGTTTTAATGTTTTGATACAAACAATATCCACCTTCTTGAAACAATTTAAAAACTTTGAAGCTGTGTGTAGGAAAAATTTATCCGTTTCTCAAGATCGGTCTGATTTTGCAACTGCCTGCAGCAACAGGAATATGACAAACAATTAGATACCAGAGTAGGCGAAAAAAATGATGAGTATTGCACTTAATCCTGTTCGTCCTGTTCGATAAAGTACCTGATGAAATTTTACAGCCATTTTAGGCGAGCATGCAGATATGGCTTTCTTTTCATGGATGATAAAAGTGCATCTATAGTGAGCGAAATTAGCTAAATTAGATGAATTTCGTGAAACCTGAGGCAATGAAGTAGTAAACCGTTATACAGAAATTATCTATAAATACTCGTGAAAGAACTGTTACATAGCGGAAGTTTTCACGTATACATATACATCATATTAACATCATATTAATGAGAAATGAGGAAGGTGTTTCGCTGAAGCTCTAAGTAACTACAGAAATGAGAACATAAAATGGCGGTGTGATATGTGTATACAAGGTATCGAAGACTTCATTCTAAATTAATGTCCAAAATATATATTTATTTTTGAGATATTCGTTTTTTCTATATCTTCTTTGTCACATATTATTTATAATTAATTGCTGCATAATAGTTTTGTTTCTTACACATTCTTCGATTTCTTTCCATGTATTGCGAGGTAATTTACAAAGTTATCATGGTAACGAAAGTAACATAAATGAGTTAGAATGATGACATATAATGTCGTT